CTAACGTTAAATTCTGAGTTGGAAATTGTCGATCTTCGAAACTATATTTCTAGAACGAACCACAGTTTGATTTTTTATTGCAAAATCCTCCGTAGAGAATCGGTTTAAAGCCGAGTGAGGATTTTAGGAAAATTTCAGGATGGAAAGTGTCGATAACAGAGTGGTGGAGTCGGAAAACAGAGGAGCGTCGATGATATTATAGCAAAGTAACGAGGTTTGTTAAGCTGAACGAAATTGCGGCGGCCTGAAAACGGCCTGGTTCAGCTGCGTTGCAGTTCAGGAGCTCGTAATTCGAGCGGTTCGAGGTAATAAGGGTTAGCAATTACCGGTGTAAGGCGAGAAACATACCGATATTAATATCCGTCGGCGAAAACCGTTGGTCAATTACCGGAAACGCGATTTTCGTTTCGACCTGGTTTTCCGCGCGGTTCACTCGCTTTTCTCGCTCAAAGGCACGACAACTTCTTTCGATTTCAAAGAGAAAGAAGCCAGGACTCGGCGAACAGACTCGATTACGCGAGTAACAGACTACAAAATCTGACTACCTCTCCGTTGCTACGACCTAAATTAATTTTAACGTTATCGGATAATCCTCGTGCAAATTTTACTCGGACAAATATGTTCTTTACTTTATATTCCTTACAAGTACACGGTGCGTCTATATTTAATTTTAACCGTACGTTCCGCGGTGTGTGTCGTCGAAAAACTTGGGAAAATACATGGAAATACATTTACATCTTTTAAACGAAAAGAGTTAACAGAGAACAGTGTACGGAGCCGCTAACGACTCTGCCATAAGAAAAAAGAGAGAGGAGTTCCTGTTTTTTCTTGTACTTCGAAATTTATCTACCAGGTTACGAGAGGAGCGGAGTATTTTCTTTCCTTCCATATTACCAAGAAAATGCGACCTCTTGCGTTCTATCTTTACATCGTGGCACGAGCGATCATCCGAACAGGGAAAGGATTAACTCCGCAACTGCATTTATGCAAATTTAATCGACACACCGGTCCACCGCGTGATAAAGTATTAAACGCTTACCCCTCCGAGGCGGTCGCTCCGACTAAAAATCATTTAAGCAAACATCGCGAAACGATCGAGCGGGAAAATCCGAGCGACGACAAAAACCAGATACGGAGCTATAGTTTGCGGTCATTTTCCACGGTTGCGTCCCGACGAAACGAACAGATTTAGAGCGGCGACGAAACGGAAACTCGACGCCCCCGTCGATTATCGAAAGCAAAAAGATAATTACGGTCGCGTGTAATCCGTTGATGGATTCTAAGGGTAAAAAGCGGCCGGCGTAATTCGTTAGATCGCCCCTTTACGATTCCGTTTCCCTTCTTCCGTACGGATTCACCGAAATGACGTTCCTTTTTACGACGCGTAATAGATCATCTCCGGTCAAGAACGTCGCCTCGGTCCACGAGGTCGAACGAGACTCGATCCGATCGCGAATAAGCCAGTGAACGACCGGACGGGGATTATTTTGCGAGTTGGATATACCATAGGGCGAAATTAAGTATCGGGAAGAACGGATTTCCTCGCCTTTCTTTCATCGACGCTCTTTCGTATTCCGATACGCTCGTAAAAAATCGCTAGGTGATAACGGCGTTTCCGAGAAAATTGCCTAAGAAAGATACAGGAAGTTTGCTCAGTGATTCGACTTCCGGGGTACCGTTTATGCCGCAAGGAACATAGATATTACCGCATCACGGGTTAAAAGTCCTAATCTTTATAATTGAGGGTTCTTTATCGTGATTACGAATATATTAAACACACGTTGAAAGTCTTGGTTAATGTGCTTTATTTTGCATACACAATTTTAAACACATTGCAGCAACAGCGCTGTTGCTCGCTTTGATAATGCTTCGAAATAAGTGCATACGTCTCTCGTGCTAGTCGGTTAAACGTCAACGCAAGCGGTTAAAGACGTTTATTGGATTTTCATTGTGCGCCACGTTCACAGCATGCACGAAATCACGGGAAACGGTGTACAGCGGCTAACAAACGATGTCACCGCACAAATTACTCGAGTATCGTGTATGTCCTTGACACGGATTGGCTACTTTGACGGGTTCGACGGAAAGGTTACAACGTGCCTAACTCGCGCGAGTGCCCGTTCACCCGCAATCCAATATCCGTCTATAATTCATAGAAGCGAAAGCCGATAATCTACGGTTAAACGATATCCAGTCATTCGTCCTTCCTTTAAGAACCACGGTAATTTGTCCCGCGTGTCCGATTTAATTATTTACCGAAGACGATCTCGCCGGAGCTTTCGATCGTAAATATTACACGCTAACGGAACTGGACTTAACGACGACATCGCGAAGCGAGCATGCTAACATCGAGAAAACCACATATACACATCGATAAGAATTTAAAAGTGGATTCATTCGAGATACTTTGACGGATAAAAGATTATTTCGAAAACGAGCAATATAAAACTGCAGACGGATCCAACGAGCAGTAAGAGTAAAGCTGGAACGAAGTGTGGAAAGCGTAGCGGTGCGTAGAGTTTTTCGTTTTCGTCGACATTCGGCTTGTCGTCAATGTCCTCTAGCAAGGCCATATCGATCAAATAATCCAGGATACCCATATCGTTTAATCGTCTAAGATTTCGATTGATGAGTCTCAGTTCTGGAAATCCCTGCCACGTGGCAAAAACGAGTGGAAAGCTGCATATAGGATCGGTTGTCAATGCGTACGCGTAAAGAGTTTCGACACTGTCGCTGTGCGAAGAGTTCATCACGATAACCAGCGCGACCGAGTTGTTCCTCCCTGATAACACATCTTTGTACAGTTTCATGTACGTATCCTTATCGAACGTCACGAACTTCTCGCGTACCTGCCTGGCAATTTCGTCGGTCTTGTCATCGAAGAAGTTCGCGTGTGCGGCTACGCCACCGATTTTAAACGACGAATTAATCAATTCTCTCGTGCTTCCGATCTTCAAATCCGACGCGTTGATCAGCTGATCGGCCAACGAGTCCACGTATAGCTGAGTAAGAAACAGACCGAAAATGTTCCACGAGAGAAACAGGATCCTGCTGGAGAGTTTGGTTGGTTGTCCCGGAAGAGAACTGCCAATTATCAGGGCAAATATGTCTAGCCAAGACAGATCGCGACTCAAGAAGGTCTTAATAACGCCGCCTAGCAACAAAGAGGCCCCTATGCCGCCCCAAACGTACGCGCCAAAGGGTGTAATCAGCCCTTTCAGGGATACTTTGGGTACCTTTGGGATCAACCAGACCACCTTCAGTACGTCGTACGAGCTAGAGTAAGCGATGTCGTCGGTGGCTTGCTGCAGAATGCCGCCTATCACCACGTCGGCCATGGTGTCTTTATAGAGGACCATGTCGCCTATCTCCTCGTAAGTGGCGTTGTTGCTCCATTCGACTTTGTTCCGATCGATCGGCTGTTTTCTCAATACCTCTTCGATCAAACGTCCCTCGAATCCAAATAGCTCTTTGGTACCATTCTTCACGATCACGAACGGTGATTCTTCGTAGTAGGCCACATTCAGAATGCAGTCATTCAAACTCGGTGTACGGAGTCCAAGCAACTTGTTCCAGGAGTCGTTTTCGCATTTGTCGAGGATAACAGCGGCCGAAGGAATGCAGAGTTGCTGAGGGCGAAAGGTTCGGCTACCAGCGGCCAACACCGAGTCGCCAACCTTCGCCAAAACGACCACCTTCGCGATCCTTTGTGCCCACATCGATTGCACCACAGTATCAACTTGGTCCAGAAAAGTCTCCTCGTCTTGGAAAATGGTCGTTAGAATGCAAAAGAATAAACAGTCTCGAGTGCAAGGTTTCGGAGCTCGGAAATCGTGTTCGATGCTACTGGCGTTCGGCATGAAGACGATCGCGTCGGACGATCGTTCGAATGGCCCGAAACGCGACTCCGAAGGTTGAACGTACGCGAATTTCAAGTCCATAGTCGAGAATAACGTGCTAGCAAATTCATGGACGTCGTCATCCGAGTCTAGTAACATGATTAAAGTCGAAAGTCGTACCTTTACGTACTTCTTCAAGAAACTCTTGACGCACGGAATCGAGCTTGACAATTCCTGTTGCACATGCTGGTGATGCAGCAGGTCTTTCACGATGAGTGATCGACCGTACGACAGAGGTTCAGCGGCGGAGAACGCGGCGAAGACGAGGATGAACAGAATTAAAGGTACAGACATTTCTGCGAGACTGTTCGCGATCAAACTGGACGAAGGTCTAACCGACACGCGGAAGACTTCGAGAACTTATTACCGTTAAACAAGCAAGATAATCAAACAGTTCGTGTACGACGCAAAAGATGCGTATCTTTAAAATTACCGTGCAATCGTTACGCTATCGTTCAGAAACACGTTATCGCGTTACGTGCTACATTTTTCGCATAAATCTCGAATGCTACGGCTTCCGCGGATGCTGCAGCGCGCATCCAGTGGACGATTTTGCTTGGACATCGTCGGTCGAGATGGAATTAATACCCGTAGTTCGAAGAAGACCGTTGACGGAGTGAAAAATGAAAGCCTGATGTTTGCATAAGAGAGCGTGTATCGTGCTTATGCACTGCGATGTAAGCTTATGCAAATACTTGCGCGCGATATTCGAAACAAGGTTTCCAGTCATGCGATCGTGACGTTAAAAGCACGAGCTACGATGTGACCAACTTTCGAGCACGATTTTGCATTTTCCTCGGCGAAGGTCGCATTATTGGCTCAGCATTTTGTCGCTGGAGAGATTCGAAAATCTTCGAAATCGCGAGAAAGTAGATTCCGCCCGAAACTTCTGGCCAAGTTACTTTAGATCGTTTTGGTAATTAGCTTTCGGCAAACAGCGCGGAACGCTCGAGTTTAACTTTCTTTCGACTTTTATTCTCGTGTGAAACGGAACGTCGAGTCAGCTAGAATTCTCCACAGACGCGGTTATGCGAAACGAGAAGAAATCGCGAGCATCGTCCTGGCGAATACCGAATTAAGAGTTTTTCTTTTGTTTTGCAGAGCTTTCGTGAGAATTCTATGCGCCTGCTGTCCCAGACGGATGAGACGGCGATATCAACCGGCATTCAGATGTAAACCGAGTCAAGTGAGTATGAAATATTCATGATACGCGCGAAAAATTGCACGCGTGTACGTTTCGCGTGAAAAACAGCCGCGTCAGAGTGCAAGCTCCCTATTGTTTCCGTTCCGTGGAACTTTCCACGGTAAAACCAACGAGCTTGTCTCTAGACACGATAAATTACCAGCGACTCACGTTCCAAAGCGTTATCTCAGCGAATACGGTAGCTAGTTACTCGTATTTGTATTCGACTCGGCGAAAGGTCGAAGCGCGCTCATTTTCGATCGAGCTTCGATTACTCCTTTCCACCAAAGAGTACAAGGAAGTTCCGCTATTTATGCCGGTGTTTTCCCGACGTTCAACCTAAATTCGATCCGACCCTAACGTTTCCAGCTCGAATTTATACGATACACGGAAACGCTTAGCTTTCTCTCCAGGATAGGGTACTTTCCGTCGGACCAACTTGTGCGTAAACACGATTCAACGAATAAACTTGGATCTTGCTTTTCTTACGAGAACGTTCGTTGGTTCAACCCCTTGTCTCGTAATCCGCTGTCGTATTTTGCGCAGCAAATAAGGCGTTCGTTAGGAAAAGTGAGCTTCCAGAGGGAACGAATCGCTTAAGGTATTCCTATTAGAGTGGACAAATTGACAGCCGTCTACGAACGTATTTGTGACTAGTCGATATCGATGAATTCCTGACGGACGGTTTTATTTTAGAAGCACTCGACTGTATCGCGATAGCGAGCTATAAAATATTTGCCTCCGTTAAGCGAGTCTGAAATTATTTTGAAAACAGGCCGGCGTGTCCATGCAAAATCAAGAGCTATCGTCAAAATGTTTGAAAGGCTAATCGTGTGAAGCACTTAACTTATGGCGAATCAAAAAAACATCTACTTTGGCTACGCTAATTCCGTATTAATCGATGCTTAGAAAAATCTGAGCGCAAAGGGGTTGAAATAGGTGATAGCTGGAATTAGCGAAGAAAGTTTTCGAGCCAAGTATAAAACGGTCAAGGGAACGCGTTAAAGGCCGCTAGTCGAGTCGCGATCGCATAAAGCGAGCTTGAAAATTCGCCAAGAAGAAGGAATTTATTATTCCGATTACTAAAGTTTTCAAGTTGACCGTTTTTGAAAGGAGATTCCGTTGGATAACGCTGCTCGAATAAACCCTGAATAACTTGGAGCGTATCTGCGTTCCGCTTCACGTGCCGGTCCGATCTCTTCGTTCCTTTCATTTCTGTTGGTTAGATAAAACCGCATTTGCTTCGAAACTTTTAGCTTCTCCGCGCTAGTGGGCTAGCTACACCTATACCGTCCACAAATTTTTAGGAATTTCTTTCTCGTAGCGTATGGAATTTCGAAGGGAAAATGAAAATTCCCTGCTATCCCCTTAAACAAGTGGTTTTATTCTTATACTTCTGAGCAGCGGGTCGAGAATGGGATTATTAAGATACAGGTAAATAACGAGAAAATATCGCAACGGCGGGACGACATTGTCCGCGCACGATCGAAATCCTGCGACTCGAGTTTAGACGAGATATTTCATCGTGTCTGCGAAAGCAGGATACCTCGAGTACTGAAATTATATGCAAATGGAAGGCAAACGGTGAATCTAATTCGTGGAAATTGGATTCGCGTGTAACTCGCGCAGACTACGTGTTTCGTTCTTTCTTGTTTGTCCGTCTTGTCTCGTCGAATCTGCAGCCTTTCGCTTTTAACAAATAAGAAAACTTTCCGACGCGATGCGTCATCGGAATGAACCAAGTTCCACGGAGTGCAAGAAACCAATACGTTCCCAGACCCACTATATCAAACGGTACGCCTCGACGCTCTCTTCCCGAACATTAACCGCGCCGAATTTGAGAAAACGAGGAACAATACATATATTCTCGTTGTTTCTGCTCGACTAGAACATTTTGATGATAAAGCAACAGCCTCGAAACTACTTCCACGATTAATCCGTTACTGTGACTTCCGACGATTACTTTAATCATACTTTTAATTATAATTTAGTGAACATTGTTTCTCGAGAATTGTTTGAGCGAAAGCTGCGAATACTTCGCGCCGCTGTACCATCGAGATTATCTGTTGCCATGCATATCTCGTTTAAGAGAATCCCAAACCGGAGACGCAATCCTGTTAGAAGCCCCCGTAAAACGTAGTTGTACGATTAGATACGTGTAACTAGATTCTAGTAGATTGTATCTTATATTCGAAGGTTGATTTTCGAGTAAGAGATTCTCCCTATGATCCATGTGGAAGAGAATATATTCTGTTACTAGTAAATTTAGTTGCATCTTGATACTCGGATCGAAATATTTTTATTATCAAATCGGGTACTAGATCTTTAAGCCGAGTCACGGGTGGAAGAGCGCAGAGCAGCATGAAATGCTAGCACGAAAAGTATGCAGTATAACAATATTTTTTCAGAGATTCGCATCCGGAAGATACTACTCCGCGTACTCGTTGCACCACGTTCGAAGCAGCCGAGAGAGCTCGTGCGAGCAAACCTACATTTAACGATGGGATATCGTTGGATTCGTTGGATACCTACTCGAAACCTTGTATCTCCTTCTCCCTCCGTTCGTCGACATCGAAGCATCGTCTCTCCCAAGACAGTCCTATCCGTAGTAATCGCCCGGAGACACGTTTAGTACAGAGATTATCGACCAAAGGACTCTATCACCACCCCGTAACGATACATAGTCTCGGTATGTTGATTAGAAGAATTTAGCGGATTTCCGACACGCAAGTACAACTTGTACGTACTCGCACCTGCACGAGCACGTGTCTTGGTATGCTTAGGTACACGCACCTCTTTCAATCTGTCCACGTTGCAATGTTCTCTTTGTGCACATGTCGTCTCAACCATCTCGGTGTTGTGTTTTTGTTTGTGACATCATTTAACTCGTTGTTCACTTTCTTCCGTATCGCTGTATCGACGTACAGCGTTACGTGGACCGGAGACATTGCAGAAGCGGATTGCTGGATAATTAGGACAGGCTCAAGGGCATGCAATTAAACGAGAAGCGGAGAACGGGCGATTCGAGCAGTAAATTCTTGATAGACAATCGCGTTCACGATTTATCGAGAATGTCGTTAAAAAGAAATCCATCGGAATCGGAAACGTTCTCTAGGGTTAACGACTCCTCCATATCGTGGGACCATCGAATAAGGGTCGATAAAGAACAGAGATTTTCCTGCGGGTGTTGGTTGTTGGAAAATGTGCACCGAAAATAATCAAAATACAGTGTAGCTCGCGGGGGAATAACATCCGATTGGTACACAAGCGCTATTTCTCGTATTCGATGGTTATCGAGTCAAAATTTCTCGTAACAATTTTCCAGCTTTTCGAGCATCGAGTCTGTATATGGTTTGACCATTCGATGATAATTAATGTAGTCGAGTCCAAACTCCTTCGATCGATTCGTTCAATCGAATTTATCATCGAGCAGGTTTTGACCAACAGAGAGAACGGCCAACGATTCAAAATCAATCACCTAATTCGCTCGTGTTTCGAGCTTGTCGTTCATCAATTTATCACTGGCTGGTAAATTAAATTACGGCACGGAATAATGTAATCGATCCGGCCGAATTCGAGCGTGTAAGGACCACCCACGCGAGAACGAGCACGATAAGGGAAGCTTTTTTTCCTATGGCAACGAATCGGAAAACGTGATTCGACGACGCAGGTGCTCGATTAACGCGTAATCGCGACTTGGTAAAATCAGATTGATCGGAGAGCTCTCCGAATGCTGCTGGGAGGTAAATAAAATTAACGGATTACGCGCGGTTCATTGACCGAACCAATATCCACTGTCACTTCTTGTTAGTTCGCGAGTCTCTGAGATAGCTATTATGACGCCTTTTTATCGAGGTCCGTATAAACTTGATCGTTTCGATAAAATAACAATCGCGTTACCGATAACTAACGATTCGAGCAACCCAGTTTGCCTGCAACGGGTTAATAGGCTTTTGATCAATAACGCGTTAACAGGAATCACGGTTAGTTCCTTTCGAAAATTTGTCAATGGGTTCGTGTACAAAACATAGCTTTCTGTTTCCGAAAACCAATTTGTTTTGATATTTTTTTCATCAGAATCAACTCGGTGCAGCGATTAAATTACACCTTCAAAATGGAACGATACATCACCGGTACATCCGGGGTTGTTTCGAAGCTCGAGTTCGCTCGTTTATTCGCTCGCTGACCTGCTAAAATCATAATCCCTTTTACGATTCATTTCCACTTTTATTTAACCAACGAACCGTCTCTACTACTATTTGTCTGTTATCCCGCTAACTTTCGCCCTTATCTTATTTCGTTGGAGGAACGACGTCTTGCATAAGGCTCGTTTCTTAACCAACAGCTTATCCGACTCTATAAAACCCTACTGGTACGCGGGCACCGCCTGTTTCTCCGCTTCCATTTCCAGCTTTAAATCAACTTATGGTCTGTACTGTGGCTGGTTAGATAACCGAAACGATTCTAGTTAAAAAGCTACGAAAAAGCGCGCAACGTTAATAAATTTTGATTTATTCGGATCGAACGTTCGTCGAAGCGAAGAAACTATCTCTTCGGAATCAGTTCGAATTCTTTCTCGAATAAACAAGAAATAAACGGATCGAATAACTTGTTCGTGCAGAACACATTAGTTTCGAGAAACGAGAAATAGCGCAGGAGCGAACAACCGCGAGATCATTGTATCGCTTCACGCGATTTCCGATAAAACTTAACGATTCGTCGAACGATCGGTAGTACCATTCCTCGTGGACAGTGTCCACGAAACAGGGGGTTGAAGGGCGTGCAGTGGAACGTGCTGCAAATGTCTCCATGAAAGTCCCGAAAAACAAGGGGACATGAATTACGAGACACGTCTGTCTCCGGAAGAGATATAAATGTCGGAAACGGGGCGGAGCTGGCCATTCTACGACCTCGGCCTTTTTTTCAGTCCCTCTCTTCGTTTTCGGAATAACAATTTAGAAAAACGATATAAATCTCTCGCGGATCCTCATCAATCGTGTGTCACGCGATTACCACGGACACCTCGTCGAACGTCGACTTTATCACGTCCTCGTTTTTACCGCATCGATGTCTCTTTTATCGCTGACTTTTATTAGTGACCCGCTGAAAAAAAGGTGCTTCGAAATAGAAGACTCCGTAGAGCGAATGATTCGCGGGGAAAGGACGATTCGTTACTTCGATTCCAGCAGAACTCGAGAGGAGCATAATGGCTCGAGTGTTCGCGACGATAACTGCGGATTCTTCAGTTTCGAGAAGTTCTCGGGCGTTTCGTCGGTTTTGCTCGATCATATTGGGGTTGACTTATCGCGCAGTCGTACATGGACCACTCCACGAATCGAATTCCGAACCCCAAAAACTTTCACAGAAAGGCTTCCGGAGAAACGTATACTTTAATTCGATTAAAAGGACATCGGTGTCCGTGGCTCGTCAAGACCACTCCGCAGTTTGATTTGGTGGCTGCGAAACTTGCCTTCAAAATTAGCTAATTAACGGATCGATGGATAGAACGAACGTTTCGTTTCGATGGAATTTTCAGAAGGGCAAGGAGAGGTTCGGTCGCGTAAAGGAATTTAATTAAAGTTGAACATCACCAGGCTCGATAATTTTGCCCTTCACGAGGATTCGTCGCGGACCGGCTCGAGCCGAAGAGGAAAAATATTCGTCGTGAATAATGAAGGAACCGTAATTAAAACGCAGGAAGTTCTATTTTAATTAGTCAGTAAAAGTAATGCGCCTGGAAACGCGACGCTGGTGACTCTTTTCTTATACTTTTTTGTTTGAAAATTTCTTCAGAAATTTGATCGGGTTCACTGGATAGAGACTCTTCGATGCATCCTCTCGAACATTTCGTGACGCGCTAATTAGACGACTCGAGTAGCTTCGAGTAGCATCAGAAATCGACTTCGCTACGCTTCCAAGTTCGATCAGGAGGTATCTCAATTAGGGATTTTTCATCTCCCACCGCTTCTGGCTTGTTCCAACCGTTTCAATCTCCCTAATGGAAGAAACGCGACAAAGTGACCGCTGCATGCTTGACGCGACTCGTTCATCGTTCTAAATTGCTTCAAATTTAAATGCGCGCGTATTATAAATTGGATTGAAAAATAGACGAGCACAGTTTTCAGCCAATACGTATCGCGATAAATAATCGAAAAAGAATCGTATAAACGCTTGTTCCATCTAATCTTGTTCCCGAGTCGACCCGGATACGTTTAGTCTGGTTGATCCACCGGAGAGCTAAGTATCGTAAAAGTAAGAGAATCGCGTTCGGAGTCTAAAAGAAAGAAAGAGGAAATCCGATCTATCCGAATCTCTCGAGAATTTCGTGCTCGATGAGTTGGAAAAAGAAAGTTTCTGCGTTGACACGCTAGCCACCCCTCGAGATCGAACCGACGCGTCACGACGCGACGAAACAGCGCCATCGAGGCGAATCTTGTATCTGTTCTTGTTATTTCTAGAACGGAATACATTAAACCGAATCACGCTGACACCCTATCGATCATGAGCCTCCTAACTCTTCGTTAACAATTGATTCTTCCAGTTTTTAGTTGCGACCAAAGCGACAGCGTTCGTCCATTTCATCGATCAGGACTATCGAATCAGTATATTCGCTTAAAAGCATTTTCGATACGCGAATGCTGAAAACGACGGAAGTTCGAGTATCGATAAACTTGTCGTTCAAAGTCGCCTATTTCGAAAATGTGTTTCCAGTCGAATCTGATTGCGAAACAAAGGCCAACTCCTATCTCCTTTCGAAAATAGGAAACGAATGTTACTCGAATTTCAGTAGTAAAGGTAGTAAGGTCATCTGTGATAAAGCGTGAAAACACGATGAAAAGATAAAGCATCGCGACGATGATGAAACAAGCAGGATTATGGAAAAGTAGGCGATGCGGGCATACGTGCATCGATATCGCTCGTTACACCACCTGACCGATGTAAGATAATTTATCCTGATGCACGAAAAGCATTACCTGACACGCCCGTATATGTATCCACTACCGTTCGCTACCATTTTTCATTCCTTTACCACAGAAATCCTTCTTCCACCGATGAGCTAGTGATTACCTCGAACATGTACTGGGTGTTCCGCGACGAAACCGACAAATGAAAAGTACTTTATCCTTTCTATAATTAATACACCGACTTCCGGAGCGTAAGTTTTGGACGTACGCGTCCGAAGGAACAGCTGATCGTGTGATTAACGGATGGTTGCGTTCAGAAACTTCGAGACTGTAGGCTAACAACAGTTTGCATTTTCTTTGTCGATCAAATTATTCGAACGTTGCGAGAGGGTTCATCCGCTACGCATCGCAACCATCCCTACTTCACCCAACCGAAAATGCCAAAGGTAAAGTTCGCCGAATCAACAAACTAGGAAACGTTTCTACGAGAACGCGTATCTTCGAAACAATTGACCCGAATTCGAGCTATGTACCTAATTAATTCGCAGAGTTCGTGTCTTACGAACTGTATCTTCCGATATTACCATACGATACTATCTCTATTGTTCTTGATACATGACATTCGATAACGTTGATTCACTTGTTCGCACCGAAAGCACGAGACGACTACGATCGACAACCACGACAAATATTTTTTGAAAATATAATTCTGATTACAGTACGTTTCCGGAGCGAATACCGGCGGCCAGGCCAGCAGCGTCAGCTACAGCAGCGTCAGTCAAAGTAGCGAGGGTGGCACTGCGACTGCGCTACCCAGTGGAGGGATATGACGGCACACGGGGGCCCGGACAGGGCCTCGTCGGGAACGCGCGATCCGTTTCCGGGACACGTGATTGTAGGCTCGTTTGCGAACGGTCGTACCCGGATTTCATCTGGATGTGCTTCTTCGAAAGATCCGGGACGAAACGGCAAGGAATTGAACGAGATCTCGAAACGAACGACGACGGCTCACCGGCCCCCTTAACGGGACAAATCGAAAAGTCGTGCGAAGACATCGCGACGTACCCTTGCGTAATAATATCCTATCGTCGAGTTTTACGTGACGAAAAGTGGACCACGAGGAAGCGTGACGAACAACGTACCCTTGTTTCGCTCGTTGTACAGTGTAATCTCGCTATATGATCCTATACGAGGTTATCGGAACGAAAACACTCGTGGAATAGGCCATATAAACGGAATTCTTTCCACTGCCGATGGCTCTCCCCGTCTTCTTGCACATACGTGACAAACATAAAGTCGGTGAAGTAAATGTATGGACAATCTACTTTGATCATCCACCCATAACCTCGCAAAAGTTGTGATTGCATTAAAATCACGCGTAAAATGATGCGTATATTTACTTCGCCGATGCTACATTCTTCGCGCATGCGCACGGAAACGCATCCCGTCTCGCAACACTGATCTCCATGCGCTACGACAGCGAGAGTGCGCCACTCGATAAGGACATACAGCGGGAATTTACTGTATATGTATATAGAAGCAACGTAGTTTCGCATTTTGTACCTCCGACGGAAGAAGGATCTAGCGAATCGAATCGCGAACCGACAGCGCCATAAATCGAGTCGAATCGGTCGTTTTTGTTTTTACGTTCGGATATCTTTGACACTTGGTAGCCTCTTAGCGAATCTCTGTGAATCGTGCATCGACGGATGCGACATCGGTGTAGCGAGAAGACTGCGGCGACTTTTTGCATGAATTACGCGTTACTCGCTTCGTTTCTGCCCCTTGTTAAACGACAAACATCCTGTTCCTAATCGAGTCGAGAGTAGCGAAAAGACTGACAATCGGAAACCGTCGAACGAAACTGATCGCCGTAGTCGTTTCCTGAACGTATTTACGACAAGACTAACGTAGCGTAAAACGAGTACCAAGGCCGATGTAACTTAATCAACGGATGCAATAACAAGGTCATAGACTAGATTAAATTAAAGCGAATTTTATTTCGGAGTAATTGACGGTGGTTGATCATTTGCTGTCGCCAATTCAATTTTAAACGTGTTCTTTCGACTACTCGGAAGTCGTTAAACGTCAAATCTGTTGCTTGTTTTCCAATCGATTCCGTTCGATTATCGTGATAGACAATCTTTATTCGATAAAAAGAAGTAACATTTTCTCGTCTACTTTATAGATGACACTGACTATTTTTGCGACGTAATTGTTTTTTTTACGAAAGTTGAGACGAGTATCCATCGATGTATATAAAGCATTGCCATGTAATTGTAAATATTAGAAAACCGTGAAGTTAGCTATTTAAAACGTATAAATGTATGAAACACTGTAAGAAAGCGCGTGCTCAATGGAAATATACGCACATGCTTGTTCGAGTAAAAATAAATTCAGTATTATTGCGTATTGATTCTATCCTGTCGTATTACAAAATCGTACTAAAAATTTGCTTACTTTTGACAGCGATACATTCATAATTTTCGCGTAAGACATTTGAATGTTCATCGGCGGTATCACGAAAAAAGAATGGGAAATTGTGCACTATCAAAATGAATGATTCACTTACCCCAGCTGACAGCTAAACGAAGACTGCTCCTGCTCCGTTCGTACTATCTAATTGCTGAATTTTCCTACAGATCCAATGGGTTCTTGTTATTTCAACCACTTTTCACACTGTACACACTTATTTCACTTTTTAATCACTCGTGATAAACAAAAAACAACGGATTGCCAAAGTAATCGCGGTTTTCGAAACAATTCGTTGACGCGAAATGTGCCGTGCGCGATTGGTCGGCGTCGTAACGACTCTAGTCATCCTAGATACTGTAAGCTAAATATTTGAGAGTTTAACGATATCAAAATTTGTTCGTAAAAAATGATACATTAATAAACAATGAAAAACTTTATTGTTTCTTTTACCTCAACCGTATGCAACGCAAAAATATTGAAAATAAAAACATCGCAATTATATCTGAAACAGTGTTTTGACTATTGCAGTCAATTTGGCGGGCGATTTGTTCGCGCTGTAAATTGGCGCGTCAAATTTAAACTGCGTTCGTAACTTTCTACTTATCCCGAATCTATATTCTTGTTGTCAAACTGCATGAAATAACCGATTCGTGTAATATCTTGATCGAGAAACACTGTTTTCAGAAACTATTTCTGTATGTACATACAAACTCTTGCTATCCAAAAGTTTGATTCTCCATATAATAATCCACGTAAAACTTGCGTCACGTAAAATAGCGTAATGAGTTACCAATTTGTTGTACGTGTGTAGCAGTGAGAACGTGATAATGTATGAAATTCGCATGCACAAGGGATCGAATAAATTCCCCTGGCCTGTATATACGATATAAATAATGCGAAGAAAACGGAGACCATATACTACGTAATTTTTAAGTAGATAGCACGCGTACATTAAAAACTATCGATTCGTGTACGAAAGCTACGTTATCGAGACCACTTAAGTACCTTCGAAACAATGTGTCTATCAATATGCTGTCCTTTATAATAAAAAAATAACTGAAAAGAATTGTTACTCGTCCTTAATCTACAACCTATCCTGAATCGAAGAAATAAATAGTCGAGAACAAACTGTGTTTTCATTCAATATAGATAACAAGTTTATTCGTTCCATACATACATTTGTCATAAAATGTAATCGGGCTATACAATTTTATTTTATAGAAAATTTACATGATTCAGTAGAGACGCTTCTGTTTACTGTACCTTATCACAGCGATACTTCTAATGTATGCTACAAAGTTCAGACTCTGTACTGTGCATGAAAAAACTAATATAAAATGCATTCATATGTTAAATATATTTTCTCTTTTTATCGTGTCGGGTTCCTTACACTAGATGTGTATTAAGAAAAATTGAAAATATGACTAAAATGTTTATGTCAAAATTTACAATTTACAGTGCCTGAAGGAAATATTTCAATTCTGTCGTGTCTGTTAATAAAATTCACAATTACAAATTTTGTTCAGAGAACCAATCGTTACGATCGCGTTCTTTATTCTTTGGTGCGTATTTATTACTTCTGTGTAGAACAGATATTGTCAAATAAAATGCACTGATATAGGATTAATCGTTTCAATGTTTTACCAATGAATTTACCATCTAATGTAGCCTTTGTACTCTTCAGTTATACTGAATCTTTTTATAGTTTCATATCCTAAAATTATTGAAAAACTAAAACAAGCGGATTGTACAAGTCGCGCGGATAGTCCTTTCGTAAACATCTGCAACCTTTCTTCCATCCAAAGAACTTTGATTGCGCTAAACATACTATCTAATCTTTGTACTTGTAACCTTGCCCGCACGACATCTAGAGGATTTGTTATGATAGTGGTGGTGAACCCTCCTAATGTTCCAGCAACAGCTTGAATGAACAAGTGAGAAACCCATTCAGGAAATAGACGAATCAGTTCATCTATTATCAACAAAGAGAAAAAATTATTATTCAAAATCAATTAATTGAATCTCTTATAAGATATTTACCTTGATAAGATGTATAAAGTCCCCACCAGAGTGCGCTATTGGGAACATAAGCACACAGGGATGCAACATACCCCCGATAAAAACCTCTGTACCCATCTCTTTGATATATTGACCTAATAATATCGGCAGAAATTTGAGCACGAGATTTCCCTGGTTCAAGAGTTAAACCCAATGGATTCATGATCATCTGTAAACAATATAAAAATGAAAAAATTACATACATCATTGATTAGCCGCTTTCATGCGCTTACCTTACTCACATGATAGCCATTAGTCTTTTTATTACTGATCCCAAGAACCATTAGATGTTGACTTAAAACATCAAAAGGAACTACTATTGTCTGCCCTACCAAACTAGCAGCACCACCAGCAATTAATGCTTTAACTCGTGAATCTAAATTACTTATAATACCATTTTGCCCAAGCATATGACGCACACCTTCATACGTAGATACATAAAACACACCAGATACAATTTGTACAGAGCTTATCCAAAACCCTCTGTACAGACCTGCTATACCTTCAGCTTCATAAATTTTTCTGCAAGCATCCACCATTCCTATAAGAATTATAAACATTAAATAAGTCTGGTTAACATAAAATGTTTTTAACAACATAAACATACCATTGTATACATGATTGTGCCTTTGAACTTGTAAACGTGTTTTGATCACTGTTAAAGGATACAAACAACAACGCACAGAGAATGACGAAAGCATACTGAGTGGAAAGAACTTTGTCTTGTCCATCATATCCCATTCTATGGTACGAATGAAGGGTGACTCTATCGTAGTCATTTTTGGTATTTATGTCACTGTTGAGTCCAATATTATCCAAATATTCATATAATAAATTTAATGGATGTTTGTGTTTAGCTAGCTGCTGCATATCTCATTGATATCTCTCGAGAAATAATACCCAAATCCTTTACAGCTGATAAAAGAGATACACTTGTATGAATATCTTCATTGTATTTCATATTTTCAAAATTACTATATGAAAGTAATTAATTCACTTCGCAAAGGCGTAATTTATTCAACATAGAGCACAGTTTAAATTTGTCACAATTGCAGTACACATACTCACGTATACATATATATGTATATATATATATATATGTAATGCTCGATCTCTAATAATACATCGAAAATAACAAAGCTAAAGAAATGATTTTTTATCAGGCACCTTCTATTATTTGTTCAAAAATGTCAGCATGATGCAAGAGGTGTAACAACTGTTTCGCACTATATTTTTACGAACTTTATAACCATTTTATGAAGGACATAGCCAAAGTCGATGGATAAAAAGAATATTGGTCGATGAATATGTAATAATCATTGATGTTATATTACTGAAACTTACGATGACGTAATTCACTGTCACGATTGTAAATATGTAATTTCAATATTCACTGATATTCACATTGTAACAACTTTAATGATATTTTACAATATCATAAGCTTCTCAGCAAGAAATTCATTCTGATGTTACACAAAACATTCAAGAACCCTGGTTTCATTCAACAATGTAGAACACATTACATTTACGTGATAAAGCATACACGAGGTTCTAGAGTCACAGAAAATGTGATCTAAATTTCTTCTGGATTCGTGCGCATGCATTTTCGTGATAACATTTAGACACTAGCGGAATCCCTCAGTGAATACGAGAAGTATAATTGCGTTCAAATAAAGATAGTCCAAAAGATGCCGCCTGTAGCGTCTTGCTCTTCTAGTCACCCTTCTTTGCCTTGTGCAAGTAAAATTAGGTTACACGTATCTTTAATGTCTCGAATACTTTCGCAAAAATAAGTATAATAGTATATTAACGATTCTTAATGGCTTATAAGTTCTGATAATTTAAGAAAGAAAGAAAAGTTTAGTGGTTCGAAATTTGTCTGGTTCAAGTGGTCTACCGCTAGGTGCTTACGTGTTACTGAAGTAATATGTCTACGTGCAATGAAATTTTAAATAATTAACAATTTAAGCAATTAATCGAAATATAATCTTATTCGAGTTCGTTTGTGATTCTAGAATCTTTAATTTACACCAATGGAGCGCATATGTGGTACTTGTCAGAAAAATGCACTTTTTGTTTTTTACGGTTCCCGAGTACCGTTAGATGGCGATGGCGATACAATTTTTAAAACGCAAGATGATATAAAAATAAAAAAAAACAGGTAACAATATTTGCAAATGTGAATATCAGTAATTTTTAAATTAATTATATAGTAACAAAATGTTATCTTTTGCTATACTACAAAGTAAATGTTTACAGGATTTTGTAAAGGATCTAACCAAAAAAGTGAAACCTATGCAGTTCGAAAGAAGAATCCAATTATAAAAGCGTGATACTGTACATTATCTGGAAACAAACTATTACACATATGAGTAAATGTTGCAACGAATAGAATGAATGAACGAACAGATAAATCAATCGATAACTTTCAGGCAATAATCCGTCGATCGAAAAGAAATTGTAATTTTTAGGAAAAAATATTTGTAACGCACTCGATTCAGGGTACAGTTTACTTTCGTGTCTGTATATAGTTTAAAGAGCAATTCGCAAGATTAACCAGAGCCTGACAAGGAGAGATGTTCTCGGGGTACGAAATCTCGTAGGAAGAGAGAAGGTCACCAATGATTTCAAGGCTCCGCCTACCAGGCTGGGGTTGGAAGCAACCCCTAGTCAGGGTAGCTCGCGCAGGGCTGATTTCTCTATCGCGTTGTGGGCGTAGACATAGCGTAGACACAACCCCCGATGCATATACCGTGTCTTTTCACCGTTCAACCAGATCAAATCACTCGTCTCAGTTCTATCTTTGATCTTGACGGTGCAACAAGGTGGCAATACGACGAAAATACGCGGTAGCTGGTGCGGATCGTTTGATTGAACCGTGTCGTTTCGCGGGACGTGCCACGGTATATCTAGAAGAGGCGCGAGAAGGACATCAGGTGATAAGGATGAATCAGGACCAAGAAGTACCCGCCACTGCTACGGATCTAGCGAGATTGGTAAGTCCAATATCCTTGAATCAGGATTGTCCTCCAAATTATGGTTCCTATATCTGCGATAATTCTTCAATAGTTCCGTCTCGAGTCCATCTCCATATTTCGAGATCGTCGAGTGCGAACAGCATGTAATTTAGCTGGTTTTGTCAGGGATGGTATCTATTTTTCCGCGCATCGAAGTACCCGCAGTCACGATTCTAATTACTGACATTAAATTTTTCTTTAATAGTCTACACATCCGAATCTTTGAAGTTCTAAGAGCGAACCTCCCAAGTTGTAGCAATTAGGCCCTAAGCAACTCCTGACTCGGTCATTAGAATGATTAAGTAAGAAGTTCAACATTTTTTTACATAAATATGGTAGTTGCAGGGAGAAGTTCGTGCACTGTTTCGAAGTTCAAACCGGTTTTATGGTATCCAGCTTCGTTAGAAGTTACCCAACGCGATCGCTATACTTAATGATCATAATTTTACGCAGAAACATGTCATTAGTTATCAACACAACGGTAATTACTTCGTTTCCGACCCACCCATCAACCTGTTAACACCGTGATACCACAAAGAAACAGAATAAAAAAAAGCCGCGATCCGTTTGTCTTTGCCTTCACGGCTAAAGTATTCTGGATGGAAGTACCATGAGTAACGGGATTCCCGCTTCCGGTTTCCCTTCGTAGGACACAATAGAATCACAAGCGTGGACATCGAGCGTAGGTCGAAGACAACGAACTCGTAACGCGGCACTGCTCGCACGATCATCCTCGAGAGCGTCGAATTGCCATGGCACGCGCCACCACGCTCCGATGGATCGTCCCACGGGTGCCACCCCTTTTGTGCCCTCTAAACACGTAATTGTCGCCACCATTCAACCCTCCTGGTCCCCTTTCAGGTTCGGGACACGTTACTGTACGCGGTACCACCACCGTGACCCACGAATACGAGCGAACCGTGGGTGGTC